CCCCTTATGCAGGACACAAATTCCCTGAGTTTCTGGATGTACCCCTAAACATAGGGGTACCCCTTTAAATGTTACATCCCCTGGTAGCTCTGATCTGGGTGAGACACATATCCAAAAATCACCCAGATCGGATCAGGGGTTCGGGAAATTTATGGAAGTACTAAAATGACCGACCGCACTGGGTTTACCAGCCGAAAAGGGCTCCATGTGTTTTGGCCCTGCGGTCGGTCACAGAAAAGGGAATGTAACACATGAATGACTTATGTTAGGAGAGCTGGGGAGGTTTCATGTAATTTCCCTTGTTCGTGAGATTCAAACTACCGAACGAGAAGCCGTTCGGTAGTTTGTATACGAATTGGCGGCAGTGTGGAGGTCTCAGCGGTGTTTGCCTAACCGAGTGTCCGATTTGGGTTCCAGACACTCGACGGCAAAACACCGCTGTTCGGGAGTTTAAAATGGCCGCCGCCACGTGTTCGTCTCTTGAATGGCGGCTACCCAGAGAACAAAGGACCCACTACACGAACCGCCAATTACCCGTTTGCAACATTGTTGCGAACAGTAATTGGAGACACACTTATTACTGGGGTGGTCTGATTGTTCGGTAGTTTCATTTGCATAAGAACTTTAGTGATTTTACCAAACAATCAGCCGAAGGCTACATACACTTCACATATACAGGTTACAATTCAACCGAATACAAAGACATAAATGGACTTTTTAGGACAGCCCAATGCCATCCACTACAATAATGAATTCATGAAGGAATGGAATAGTAAATAAGAACTATGCACATTTGGTCTAATGGAAACCCTTATTTTAAAAAAAGAGCAAAAAATTATCCCTGTTAGATGTTGAAATTAAGAACCTTCAAGATAAACTCCTACCATTCACTAAAACACAAGTTTCTAAACAAAACTCTATCATAATACAAAACAAGATAGAGAAAGTTGAAATGGATACAAAAAACATAAAAGTAAAGAAATACATCAGGGACAAATATGATTATGACCAAGAACTTACCATCTTAACAATAAAAAGAAATACACCTCAGAAACTCTTTTGCATCACCAACCCAGTTTTGATTATCATACTCGACAAAACACATTATTTGGATTATCCATCATGCCCTCCCCCTCACCCCCCCCACCAGAATTTTCCCTCAAAGGAATTTAAAGAATCCCTACCCAAGCCAAACTCATGTCCCATACCATAGAGACAACTACAAGCACTATAAATCACCCCCCAGATATCACAACTCATCCAACCGTATCCTAAACATGCAACATTACCTCCCTATAAAAATCACCCCACACATAGGTTCACCAAAGCTACTACCTCTGTCCCAACTACACTTAGACAAGACACCTATACCTCCATTCCTAGACCCCAGAGACACAGATTCACTTACCAAAATTCCAATCATACAAATCACATTACATCCCCTATTCACCACCCAAATAGATACCAGATACTATCTATAGATTCTGAAACTGATATTGATGATCATTCATTAGAGATTGGAACACACAACAACCCATCTGTCCAAACACCATACCCAACAAGAGTAAGAAAGAGAAAATTAAGTATAGAGGAAGGAGAAGTGGAAGAAGATTTCAAGAGAGAAAAGCTAGAGAGACATTAACCAATTTTAACGATAACAGGCATGGAATTTTTAATTTATCATAAAAAAATGTTAATTTCAACCCAAATTTCAGTTTTAAGTAAAGGTCTAACATTTGCACCCACTAATCTTTTTAACCCATTCCAGGGATTTTTAGATATTAACAAGTTTGTGAGAAAAGCTTTAAAATTATTATTTTTTAGCAAATCTAATATATTGGACATCCCCAACAACACCTCAGACCCATGCACTACAAACGAACCTCAAGTAATAAGTACCTTGCTGAAAAAAGGTTCAAATTTTTACCAATCCAGTTTTAAGTCAGGCCTAATAGAGGTGTTTGAGAAGTTAGTACTACATGATGTAGACAAAATCCAACAAAAGGAACAAAAAACAAAACAAAAATACAAATATCATAATCTAACACGCCAAGAACAGAAAGCACTGATAGAACTACAAAAAGACGATAATATCATTATCAAACCAGTCAATAAAGGCAGAGGTTTGCAGAACCACAGACCCGCAAATCAAGTAAAAAACCATGCACTTTACTTCTAATAATACTAACCCATCATATCCCATAAAAGACCTAATATGTTGTAACACAAAAAATGTCATATACTTACTGCAGTGCCCTTGTGGCCTCCAGTATGTAGGAATGACCACTAGATGCCTAACAATTAAACTGGCAGAGCACTGTTGGAATATCAAAAGTTACCCTAACCACTCAGTCTCAAAGCACTTTATTAAACATTAGAAACACCAAACATCTAAAATGTATTGGGATTCAAAAATGTAAAATACCGTGGAGGGGATGTGATTTAAAAAAAACGTTTGGGTCAGAAAGAAATGTATTGGGTGTTCCAGTTAAAAATGCTTGCCCCTGAAGGTTTAAGCATTGATTTTGATCTTTTTAACTTTTTATAAATTTGCATATTCTGTTTTGTTTATAATGTGATACAATTATAATAATGATTATTAAAATATTTAAAAAATAATTATTTTATTTTATTTTATTCTTGCCCTATATTTACATGTGTTCTTTTAAATCTGTATGTATATTTTTCTGTGACATTTTTATATCTATATTTATTATAATTTTCTATTATCATATGTTAAAATGTATGCTAAAAAAAACCCTGATCTGAGTAACCATATTTGCACTTGCCACTTGTCACATATATGTTTTATTCATTCATTCCCTCCTTCCACTTTTTTTCATTGCCCTCCCTAATATGACTGACACATGTTCTATAATTTATAAGTTATAAAAAAATTTTTTTAAAAGTCACGTGGCCATGACGTCATTTTGGCGTCAAAATAGTAAGTAATCTGAGGCCTATATAAAGCCAGTGTTGTCAGGTACATGTTTTTATCCACTTGAGAAAGCCCTAAGGGGAGAAACACGTTGTGGTATTTTAATTGCTGTATTTTATTAAAGGTATTTTGGCCACTTTCAACTTGCGAGTCAGCCATTTTACTCTTTTCTTTATTTTTACCTGGCACCAGTTATTATTGTTCCAGTGAGAATTTTACTCCAAAGAATCCTTGGTGGGGATTATACCACTCGAGCTTTATCCATTGAGCAGTCTGCCTGCTCAATAAAATGTAAGTAACCACTTGGTATTTTATTATGTCACCTCTGGCTTTTATACAATAAGCACTATTATTGTTTCTTTAATATTTCATATGGTCCTTATGCCAACAAGATATTCACCTACTACAAAACTTCATGTTTCCCATAAGTGGGGATTGTACCACTGTATGCCATCCACACTAGATCTAGTCTTATAGCTCTGGGAAACTTGAGTAGGACCATATAGACCTCTTACAAAATAGTACTTAGTACCTGTTGGGATATACTGCACCATTATTTGCTTTCTTATTTTTTCATACAGATTTCACGAATATCCCATGCCCATACGTTACTGAGGAATACTTCCCCTGACAAGATTGTGATTGACTTCTTATACAAGGTTTTATTTGGACTTTTTGCTGTATTTATCAGGCATAGACCCTTTTGGACTTACTTTTGGACTCTTATATCCATATTTCGAACGCTTATTGTTTTTTTATCTTGCATGTATTTTCTCTTATATAGAGTCTTGTATATGTGCTCGTATAGTTTTTAATCAGGTTTTTTTGTTTTGTTTTTTCACCTGTGGCGCCACCTCCCCTTTCACCTTTTTGTTTTTTTGTTTACTCTATAGGACATGTGAGGGAGCACTATTTTGCAAGTGTGCTGCCTTATATTTATCTCTGTAAGATCTAGTATATTAGCGCTGATCCTTTGTACTTCCCTCCATATAAAAACTCAATTGCGCAGGCTCAAAGGGTATGCCTACGTCTTTGGTAAATACTATCATTAAGCCCTGCAGCGATGGTGAAAGAAGCAAACCATCAGATGGACAATGACACTGGAAGCCACAGTTCTAATCGTGCATGTAGGGGGTAGGCATGTATTGGTCATCCTAGGAAAAGTGGCCTAGCCAAAGCTTGTCTCCATTTCCCCCCAGTTGGTTAGCTGCAGTCAACGGGCATCTCCTAATGCGATCGAACAAATAAAATTAGTATAAGGCACACACCTGCCTCACGAGATGTCCTACGACTAAAACTTGCATGTTGAAAGACCAGAAACATGCTCGATAGAGCAGACAGCAATCTCCCTGAACAGCACTCTGCTTCAGTCACTGTCAAACGCTCAACAGTCAATGCTGATATCTCTGCTCTCAATGAAGTCTGCATCACATAGATAGGTAGCCTTCAAGAGCTTGACGCTGGATAGAATCTCAGAAGGAGTCTTAGAAAGGAATACTTGCAAACATGGTGTTGGAAACTGCAATGACAATGGTCGCCTTCTATTAGAGTTTTGTGCAGAGCAGAAATTTGGCTTCCAACAAAACAATTGTCTAAAGACTACTTGGATGCACCCTTGGTCTAAACATTGGCGCCTTATAGATTACATCATGGTGTGTCAAAGAGACATTCCGAACATACTACTCACTCTAGTAATGTCCAGCACAGAGTGTTATACAGACCATCGTCTTGTAAGATGCAAGGGATCTCTTCACTTACACTTTTCTAACAGAGTTAGAAAATACTGTTAAGGCTATTAAGCAGCTGAATAGTGGCAAGGCAGCAAGAGTTGTTGAAATTCTGCCTGAAATTTGGAAGTATGGGGGCCCAGCATTATACACTAAACTTCATGAATTTTTTGTCTGCTGCTGGAACTACCACAGGACCTCCATGATGCCATAATCATCACCCTGTATAAGAACAAGGGAGAAGAGTCTGACTACTCCAACTATCAGTGGATAACACTGCTTTCTGCTGCAGGAAAAATCTTTGTAAGGGTACTTTTGAACCGACTTATACCCACCGTTGCAGAAAAACTTTTTCCATAGTAAATGTGGCTTCAGAGCCAGAAGAAGCACTACCAGCATGGTATTTGTTCTTAGACAGCTTCAAGAAAAATGTTGGGAACAGAACAAGGCATTGTATATGATATTCGTTGTCCTCACCAAAGCATTCGACACTGTGAGCAGAAAAGGTATGTGGAAAATCTTTGAACACCTACTATGCCCCTACGGGGGATGGTATCTATATCCGTTATTTCACTGATGGCTGCCTATTTAACTTGAGGCGACTAAGGGCCCACACAAGGATGGTGGATCGACTCATCAGTGAGCTGCTTTGCACTGACGATGCTGCTCTTGTTTCCCACACAGTGACAGTTGTGCAGTGAATAACATTCTGCTTTGCAGAGGCTGCTAAACTCTTTGGATAAGAAGTCAGCCTGAAGAAGACAGAAGTCCTCTATCAGCCTGGACCTCATGAAGTTTACCATCACCCTGCATCACCATTTGTGAATCAGAGCTCAGTTGGTGAATCAGAACATCAGTTCAGCTACCTTGGGTGGATTATCTCTTCTCATATGCCAAGATTGACAAAGAAATAAATAGCAGACTGTATAAGAGTCTGGAACAACAAACATCTGAAGAGAGGCAAAAAGATCAGGGTTTACAGAGCTGTCATACTGACAACTCTCCTGTATGCCTCTGAGTTATGGGTTACCTATCGCCATCACCTGCGAGTCCTTGAGCACTTGCAACAATGCTGCCTCTGCACAATCCTCAACATCCATTGGAATGACTTCATCATCAACATCAAAGTTCTCAAACAGGCAGAGACCACCAGCATTGAAGCAATGATTTTAAAGTATCAGCTGCACTGGGAAGGGCATGTCTCCAGGATGGAAACTCATCGCCTACCGAAGGTTGTGCTGTATGATGAACTCACCACTGGACACAGCAACAGATGAGCGCCAAAGAAGAGGTACTTCATGCCTGTCACATTGACCATCCTCACTGTTCTGCTTTAACCTCTGATCAGGAGACTTGGAGACACACCATTTGTCAGGCTGTCTCCTTCTTCGAGACCACACGCAGGCCAGATAGTGAAAAAAAAAGAAACAGAGGAAGAAGTATGACCTTGTTGCATCAAAGATAGACCAGATTTTCCCTGCTGTGGCCAGATCTGCAGCAGACACGGACAACCCACTTCCTAAATATTTGCATACGAAGTCAAGTCAAACAAGTGGCATCGGGTATTATGGATTCTTTTTATTTGTCCTTTTTTGGGGCTGAAGATTAGAAGAAAGAAGACTTCTGATGGTAAGTATAATTTTTTTTACAAGTTTTAGATTTTTTTTGGACCCTTCCAAGATTGTTTTAGGCGTTGGCTTTGGCATTGGGGACACCAAGTGATTTTCCTATTTGAGCACTGGCATTAGTTTTTGTTTAGCTTTGGAGGTTTGGGAGAGACTTTTTGTGCCTCAGCAGCACTTATAATATTTTTTGTGTATATTTTTTTTTTAATATTGGACTTGGTGACATCTCTCAGTTTGTGTGCTTTGGTGGTTATTGTGTATATATATATATATATATATATATATATATATATATTTATTATTATTGTTATTATTTTATTAGACCTAGTGGAATCTCTAAATTTTTGTGCTTTTGTGGTTATTATAATTTTTTTTGCCATGCTATAAGCCATAGTCAAGTTTCAGTCCCCATCATCCTAAAGCCAAGGCTGTTCAAACCCTTTAGCAACCCTAACCCTAAATCCCCACTAACACTTGACATCCCTTAGACGTAGATCTAATACTAACAATAACTGTAACTCTAACCCTAACTCTAACCCTCCCCATCTGCAATTACATCAGCAGAGGCATTCCATCTTATACATTGTGCCGATTGATCTGTGAGCAGCCTTCACAGCAAATAAACAGCAGGATAAGCGAGAGATCTCTCACTCTGCTGTGAATCTCATTTTGACACATACAGTATCACACCCCTCACACACACTGTCACCCTCCCTTTAACACACTGTCATCCCCTTACACACACACTGTCATCCTCCCACAATGTAGTGTCACTATACTCTCACACACTGTCAGCCTCCCCACACACACTGAAGCCTCCCCACACACTGTCACATCCTCACACATTGTCACCAGTCACCAAACTGTCATCCCCTCTCCAAACTTTCAGCCCCTTCATCCACACTCACATTAACCACTCCTAATCCTGTTAATATAACCCCCATCAAACTCACCTCATCTCGCTATGTCACACTTACCCTATCAAATTAACCCCCCTAATTCTGTCAAACTCACCTTCTCTCACTCTGTCACACTCTCTCCCAACCCTGCCACACTTATCCCGTCACATTAATGCCTCTAATCCTGTCACACTTTGCCAAACTCACCCTGTCACTTTAACCCCACTTAATCCTATAACACTCCCTCCTCCAGTCATGCCACATTCACCCTTTACCCCAAAACTGTGATGCTCACCCCACCCCAACTATGCCACACTTACCCTGTCACATAAACCCCTCCAATCCTGTCACACTCGTCCCTCCTACCATGCCACTATTGTCCTGACACACTTACCTCGACTCTCCCTGTCACACTCCCTCATCAAACCATGTCATACTTGCCCTTCCTCATTCTCTCTCTAACCCCCCCACATTGTCCCATTTGCCTCCTTCATCCTGTCACACTCTCTCTGCCACTGGTACCCTTTACTTACTCTGTCGTAGTCACCAGCTGAAGACATACATCATATACACTTTATTATTTGGTAAATTATTTTTTAAAAGCTTTTTTGCTCAAACAAAATTTTTGTTTTTGTTTTCGTTAACCCCTTCACACCAGTACTTATGCATACACGACTGCCAGGCTATGCAAACATACCCCACAATTGTGAATAAACAATTGGCATAATTAATTCTGTTTGCAAATTATGCTACAACTACAGCCAGACAGCTCACAATGCAGGGGCACAGGAAGCTGTGACACTGCAAGCTTCTCAACAATGAATGCAGAGACTGAATCTCTGTATCCAGCGCTTCAAGCCCCCCTTTCAAAATAGCGAATGCTCCTTACACACAAAATACAACCCTATTATTTTATACTTTGGGTGTTAGTGGGGCCTCATGCTTGAATTTCGCCTAAGGCCTCATAAAGTCTAGAGACGCCTCTGCCTGTCACAATATGTTTTTTACCTCTTCAGTCAAATCACAGACAGAGATCAGTGTGGGGTTGTGCAATCAGCCCTGTGCAGATCACTATATGTGATCAACTTGTAGGGTGCAGGAGGGGTCACTCGGTGATGACCTAGGTCCAAGGCTGAATGTGGAAGTTTAAACTAAGTGATTCCCTTTGTTGAGAGCTGTGCTCAATTTGAGCACCTCAAACAGTTCACTTGTCAGCTTGGAGTCACTAATTGTGGGCCCAGCTAACTAGGTATCAATAGATAAACCAAAACAGAGAAGATTCGGGATATGGCTGTGTAAATCTACAGAGAAAGCATAAAACAAAACATAGTGTGATATTGTTATAAAACACAATATTTCATGCGCAGTAATCTTGTGCACTCACAGGATGTAGGCAATAAAAGCGCTCTTAAGGTGCCTTCCCCAATGAAATGGGGGGCTAGCTGGTGTTCCTTATCACCTCTGGATCCTTGTTCCACCAAAAGACATCCACAGGTCAGGGTTCAGTAATAAAAAATTTATTTAGATAAAAAGTGTAGTCACCAATTCAGCATAGGATACAAATAACAAAAAGGTTGTCCTACGCGTTTCGTTCTATAAGAACTTCCTCAGGGACCACAATTAAAAACAATAGTAACAATGTATCAATGTACAATACATGAACATATTCAATAGATACCTGTATCTCCCCAGCACCCGCTCCCTGCTAGTGTTTAAATGTCATAGTAAGTGATAAAGATGATTAAGTAACCATATTTTTCCATGTTATATCATGTCCTTTTGGGGTTAAAAATGTCATCTAGTAAATATCACAAAACAAATAATGATAGAATGGCAACCTCTGAATCTAACAAGGTAAAGGGGGAGCCACAATATCAAGTCTCCAAAAATAAACAAAATAGAGGAAGAAAATCTCAATGAGTGCCCCAGAGGATCAGGGACCAAAATGAGGGAGAGCACAGTGAAAAGGGATAGGTATATATATACAGGGGAAAATAGTTACAGCGGGGACAACTAGCCCTACCTTTTATTGAACCTAAATTAAAATCGTGAAAAGAGAATAAATAAATGAATATGTATGAATAGAAGCCACGTATTTGGAGATACCTCCATGCCTCCTAGGGCTTCCTAACCTGAGCCCTATGTTCTAATCCTCCTGAACCACTCTCTTACTAAAAGGAGAATATATGGGATTCCTCCCTATTTTTCTTGTACCTATAGACATTTTGTTTTGGTACTTACCCTTCTCCCTTAGTGGATTAATTTATTTATTCTCTTTTCACGATTTTAATTTAGATTCAATAAGAGGTAGGGCTAGTTGTCCCCCCTTACATATACTTCTGGAACGATAAGAATTTCCTCAAGAACGTTTTTTACTCTATCAAGATTGGCTGTTCCTCTTAAAGACTTTTTTGTATTTTATTTTTTATTTTACTTATTTCTTTTTTTAATTTCTAATTCATTTTATCTGTATTTTACATATTATACTGGACATTTTACCTTAGATATACAATTTATTTTTTGGTATATTTTAATATATTTTGGGCGCAACCTTATTCTCTTTCTCCTTTTTTGCTGCTAATTGTGGGGTACTAGGAGGGAACCCTTCTCTATCCTAAGGCGTGCTGCCCTAAATTCAATTTTATGTTGTGATTTTATTCACCACTGACCCTTGTAACTATTTTCCTCTGTATATATACCTATCCCTTATCACTGTGCTCTCCCTCATTTTGGTCCCCGATCCTCTGGGGCACTCATTGAGATTTTCTTCCTCTATTTCATCTAGTAAATAGCTATTGCTTTTGTTTCTGTTTATTATCAAGTTAGTAAATAAAATATTGGCGTAACTTTGCTGTAATGTCAAAAATATATAGCATCTGGCTCTCATAAATCAACCTTTATATATGTCTATAAGGATGATATAAAATGTTATGTATTCAGTTCCTTTTCCTTTGCTACAAATTTATT